GGGAAGAACAAGAGCACAGCTGGGAGCTAAAAGCATTGTACAAATGACGAGTGATGGCTCTGCAGGATATGAGCCACATTCTGTCTGTCTGCCTGTGGAGGATTTACCCTGAAGCCCTGAGGCTCACCTTTTACTGCTGGGGTCACATCTCTCACAGTCACACACAATTGTAGACACACGGAGAAGCATGCTTCAACAAAAGGTTTTACATATACATTAAATGTGTTTTAACACTTGTGTTTTTAAAAATGAAACTCTGTAGGACTAATGTCTTTTCAAGACTGAAATACCTAAAGGTTCAACATGCAACATGCAGTTTGTTAAAAAGACTGACAGGTGTATTCTGAGATATTTCAGAAAATATAGGAGCAAAAACAAAATTTACACCTGAAACACATTTGTCTTTTCTGTATTAACTTTGCTCATGTAGGAAGATTTTGTAGGAATGAGCCAATAAAAAGTATAAGCTTAAACACCAACAATTTGAAATCCCCTTGTCAACTTTTCCTTCAAGTTCTACAAATAAATTATTGAACTTTAGATAAGACAGGGTTAATAGTCAGACCCCAAACACAATTTCCTCTACACTGCCTGCTAAAAACCAAGCCTTCATTATTTATCACTCAAATGCAAAATTTGAGAAATGGCTAATGCCCGAGCTTCCCTCTCGTCCCACAAGTCCTTATTAATTTATGTGTTCATACATTTATTTATGGTTTATTTCAGAACATCTTAATCCATTCTGGGACTCTGGGGCTCTCTTTGTTGACACTGACTCTAAACCCAAATCTACTGCACCACTTTACGTTTCTCTCTTTCTTTTCTCTTCACTCTGTTTCCCCTGACTTTTTGTATTTACATGTGTACATTGAATCCAACAACAGAAGGACTCACAGTGCTGTCAGCATGAGCTGCACTTAAACTGTTGCTGTGGACAGCAGACAGACTGTACAGCAGAATGAGCACAATAAAGAAGGGTTAAAAAAAGGAGAGAGGGGATCAATGTGCTCAGAGATGTTTGTGAAGATGAGAGGAAAGAAAGAGGGAGCACTCAGGAGAAGGTGACAGCTTCCCTATAGAGCTGCCAGTCATGCTACACAGCAGCAGCTCGCACAAGAGAAGACACCTCGACTTATTGATCTAAACTCTCACACTCCTTCTTCACTTCTTACCCTCCACTTTTTGTTCAGTTTCCCCTTCCTCTAAACCTGTCAGGCTCCAATATCTGCTTCATTTTACTCTCAGACTTCAGCTTCCACACTAAAGGTTTCAAAGACATTTTCAAGTACAATTGACTTTTACAATTGACTTTATCAATTCACTACAGTTATGATGACTGACGTAATCGAGCATCAACGCAGTAACCTGATCTGCTTTGTTTAATCTGGATTTGTACAACAGGATGTTCACATGCATTTCTCCAATAATAAAAACATTTTCAGCCACCTGGGATGATGCAAATTTTAAACTATAGTGATAAAGAACATAAATGTCGGGACTGAAAGAAGACTGAAAAATGGTTCTGCTTGGCCTTGGGTGAAAAGTTGATGCATTCATTTCAAATAAAACGAGACAAAATAATGTAGAAAAAGAGTAAATAATAAATATTAAATACATAAATGATGTACATTTTGGAAGTTCAGATGGGCTGTTTTGAATTCATGGTGCATTCATATGTCTTCCATTTATGCATTGGTTCAGTGGTTTCTGACTGAAAACCAGCAATTGTTAAATTGATGTACCAAACCTTTTTTCTGCAAATAACATAGTTGATGGGGAAATACATTCATTTTTATTTTCTGGAAATTAACTCTCCAAAAATTTAATACAGGCCATAAAGATTGGAGCCATGAAGAAGACTATGTAGAAGCTCAATGCTTATATGTTGCAGAAGTCTGGCTTGTAAGGCTAAAACATAAACATACTGTATGAATGAAAGACATATGTCCTAGTGTACAGTTTTAGTTTTTATTGACTGTTAACAACTAAGAGGGGGGGAATGACAGAAATTATTAACTTCAAAATCAGGAACTTTAACAGTTTGACTAAACCTGGTAGCCAGTTATACAGTATTGGGGGAGATAAGAGGAGAAATAATTCAGAACATGTTAGCCTTGAAATGACCCAATGAGGTCAAGTATGTGAATTCCTAATACACGCCGTGTATCGTTGTGTATTCTTTTTGTGTTAAAAAATATTTGTAAAATTTATCATAGCCAGAGCAAAAAAAACAAAAAAAAAAAACAAAGTACATCTTAGTCAGATCCTTGAAAAGCAGTCTGGTGCTGAACATGATTCATTTTTCCTCCCTGACCTGAAGGTCAAATCCTATAGGTTGGAGAAAAGGTGAGATGGAGAAAGCTCTGTGAGGTGACGAGGGATCAGCCGAGAGTTAACAAGTCAGAGATGGAGTGAAGATGACACACAGTGATAGAGAGAAAGGTGGAGTGTGAAACTGGCAGCAGGTGTGAGGGTAAAAAAAGGGTAACAGTGTGAGAGGGGAGGTGGATGCTAAGAGTGGACTAAGTGCAAGAAGTCTCCTTCTAACACCCCCCCACCCCCACTTAGAGACTTAGTATAGACATGGCACGAGTCTGTTTGGATAGTTTGACAAGACAAACACTTCAACTTTGATAATGAGAGAGTATGTTTTTCAGTCACTAAACTAAGATAGACATCTCAAAAACATCCCTGAACCTCAGCTGCTGTTGCTATAAATAGAAATCCCACAGATAGTTGAGTTGGTCAAAAATGCACTTTCCAACATGTCTACAGGTCCCTAAGGAAACTGTTGGATCTTATAAATCACGTATAAATGAACATGTAAAATTACAAAAATGTATTAATATTTGTTTGACATCCTCTTTATGTTTCGCTACTGACACAGTAACATACTGGACACTCAACCAGATGTATGGATCCCTCACTGTGGTGGCGAGATGTTCAAACATTTTATTTCACAAAGCAAATTCTTAATTGTTAAGACACTTAAGCTGAGGGTTTCAGTGTCGGATTTAAAGTGATCTCAAAGACTGCGATTAGTTAACTTATTTCGCAGTGCGCCCCTGTAAAATTGTGGTGTTAAAAAAAGGGATCAGTGCAGCAAGATGTATGGTCTCTGTCTTTCCATACATTCTATTTCAATGTCAACACATTTCACCCTCAATACCTTCAACTAGACCATTCTGAGGGTTGTTTTCTTTTAAGGAGCGGCTAATATAGCCTCGAGCACAGATGAGAATTAGGCCATGGAGGTTTGTTAGCTCTCATATTCAACATTATAGATTTTTATTCTTTGAATTATTTCTAACTTGTAGTCTTCAGATCAGATCAGATGTCTTGCACCTCTTCTGGAAGAACTACTTTTTAATTTACCTAGTAGTGTTCCTACCCTGTAAACAGACCTTAATGGGTAAAATCAGTGAATTTCAGTCATATAATCTTCAAGTTTTAAATCAAATAACCAGATAAGGTCTAACTGAGTTTGTTATCAGTCAAACTGATGACTCAACCATGAGAGTTGAGCTTTCAGAGTGCTTTAACAGCTGCCTAATAATTTGTAAGCAAAAAAATAAAGAGAACCTTCACGTCTGGAACCTGTGATGCCCCAAATACTCGACTCGCTTCACATATCTAAATATGAATTGTGTGTGTGTGTGTGTGTTTAAGTTGGCATTAGGGAACACAGGCAGGTGGGTGAGCAGGGAAAGTGTTTGAAAGCTTCCTATAGAGTAGTCCACTGGGTGTGTGTGTGTTTATGTGTGTATGTATACGAGTGTGTGTATGTGTGTGTGTGTGTGTGTGTGTGTGTGTGTGTGTGTGGCTTGAGGGAGCTGTCTGTGGGGAGCTGATTGCACGGGCTCTCATTATGTGGCCGGTGGCTGTAATGGAGTGTGACAGCAGCGTGCTGTGCTCTGGATCTCTGTCCTTCCAGCCTGCAAAGCCAATTAAACACACTCTGCCCTGGTCTCCCACTGCCTCACCCTGCCTTGCTCTCCATCACTTGTGCCTTCCTTGCCTTCCTTTTTACCCCTCTTCCCTATACCCCCTTCACCATCACCATCCCCAGCTCTACACTTCCCCAGCTCTACACTTCCCAGCTCTACACTTCCCCCTCATCTGTCCTCACTCTCTCTGGGTCCTTCCATGCCCTCCTTTATGGCAGACTCTTTTAACCCCCTCTAACACCACATTTCCAAGCTCAAAGCCCTCAAGTGTTTGCTTCTGACCCTTATCTCCTGTTGTCTACATGACAATTAAAAAAGCTCCTACTGCATCTGCCCCCCCCTCCTACCCCTCTGAACCCCCCCCCCCCCCAAGTCAACCCTGTCTCCCTGTGGCATTGCAGTAAAGCATAGATCCTTTGGGAGGGGGTAAAGAGAGAAGTGCTGGGCTGCAGGGAGCAAGAGAGAGTCTGATGACAGCACACACACACACATACCTACACACACTCAAGAAGGAGGGAGAGAGAGAAAGGAAGATGAGCGAGGGAGCAATACTTGGTTTCTCAAGACCCAGAGCAGTCACAACCACTTAAGAGGAAAAATGCCCTGCAGCACCAAAAACACACGTAGTCCATTTATCACTCCCTCATAGTCCCCCAAAATGTGCACACACGCACTAACCGTACACACATACCGCTACTCTACTTGCGTGTGTGTGTGTGTGTGTGTGTGTGTGTGTGTGTGTGTGTGTGTGTGTGTGTGTGTGTGTGTGTGTGTGTGCGTGTGAGAGAGTGTGCTTTCTTGACAGAACTCCTGGTTTTAAAGTGTTTATAAATAGAGCCGTAAAAATGGAGTTTGCAGCAGAGATGAAAAATCTTTTGACATGTTTCCTGCTCCTGTGAATCCTTCTGACAGTTTGACCCATGTAGATGCAATTAAGTGGCACAATGCACTCCCTCCAGGGGGATGCGTGTGAATGTGTGCGATCATGTACAGTGTTGAGTTGTGAGTTAGGAGAAAAAGAAAAAAAGGGAGGGGGGAGGAGGAGTTTGGCACCTGTTTTGAACCAGCCGTCAGCAGTGAAAGACTCTCTGGTCGCTTCAGGTTTGTTCCAGTACTCCTTAAAAACCGATGGACCTCGGACCAGGAGCTCCCCTTCTTTGCCCTCCAGACCTGGACGTACCTGCAATTAATTCAACGAGGAAGATTGAAGAGACCAAGATAGACATTTTGATAGAGTAAATATAAGCCATTTAAATATGAAAGATAATCCCTTTAATATCGAGTCATAAACTAATTAACAACAGCAAGATAAACATGCTTAACTGAAAGAATTGAAGAATCATTTAGTTAAAATGCATTTTTGTATACACACACATATATATATATATATATATATATATCCTATTTTCGGGCTCCACATACTGCTTATATCTATGTTTTTTAACTTCATTATTACCTGAGTCTCTCTGTGATTGCCCTCCACAATTGTAGTGTTGTTTGTGTTATTCATGACAATCTGGACTTCCACACCAGGCAGTGGGAACCCAACAGCCCCTGTGAAACACATCAAGCACAAACACAAACATAAAACAAGGGGAAAGAGTGCATTGGAAGCAATACGGGAAGTATTTCTGTCCCCTTAAGAAGAAGTTGAACATTTATAAGGGCAATAACTGCCGGAGTGATTGTCATGAACCTTCAGTTCAGTATTTCTACCTCAATAGGAAACGGCTTTAACCTCTGTCTGCAGGGCATAACTGGTCACTTAATGGTTTGCTGAGCTTGTAAAACACCAAACTGAAAGCCATTCGTCTCAGTCCCCAGTCAGTTTACTTGGACAGTGATGGGGATTTCTTTGGCAATGCCTGATGCAGCTGTTTTCGCTCTCCGATATGAAGTAAACTCCTCATGGAAGAGCTGTTTTTGGACCTTTCTCTTGATATCAAGTCTGCCACACGTTCACCATATTGTGATCTATCCATTATTGTCAGTGTCTCTCCTTAAAACGACACTCGACCGCATCATCTGTAGCATTACGTCAACCAAACCGTCACGGTAACAACCTCCTTCATAAACACACTTTACCAAAAAAAACTCCATTCAGCTCCAAAACCACTCACTGAAATAACAGTCGCTACTTTAAACCTGTTGAAAGCGGTTTCTTCAGTCACAGTCCTGAATGCACAGCAGAACTACTGCTGAGTGCTTGACAAGGCCTTTTATTTCAGCACAGTTGCTTCAAATTTTAATACATGAGCCGACAAATTATGAAATACAATAAGGACAGAGTGTAAAAAAAAAAAAAAAAGACTATGGGGCTGTACCTCACGTTGAGCACCAGGATGTTTAAGTGAAACTATTAATAAGAAATGTGTTAAGAAATGTGTTACATTTTGAAACATTCCCACCTGTTCTGACAACATCTGCAGCCTCTATCTTTGTGTGTGTGCAAGTGTGACCTCCTGAGTTAAGTCATTATTGCAGAGAGTGCACAGAGAAGGTGCCAGTGATTTTTTTTTTTTTGTGTGTGTGCATATGTGCGTGTCTGCCTTAAAGGCTCTTGTGTCATTTCACAGACCACTGCTCTCCCAATAAAGAGCATGTCAGGTCCTGATTAAAGAGTGATTCTCTCACTTCATATTGATCTAATCCACTTCAGTCCTGATTGGCGATGTCTCTCACACACTCTCCATCATTTGCACTCAGTCCAGCAGCGGGGAAAAAAAAAAAAAAAAACAACTGAGCAGAGAAAAAGATCAGGCTGTTTCTCAGCAGAGAAGCAGGATAACAACCAAGCGGCAGTCAGAAGGTGAGAAAAGCAGAAAGTAGACGAGTTATAGTGATCACTGCATTCTGACCTGCTGTAGACAGGGTGAACAAGGTTAAGTGAGACCTAAAGAACAAGGTTTGTGCTGTATCTTATTTTCATTAAAGTCACAGAGTGGAGGACAGAGTGGATCAGGATATTCAATGTAAGATAGAAACTGCATGTCTGACAGTGGAAAAGCTTGAAAACTTATTTTATCCTTAAAGGTATAATACGCAACATTGTAAACATTTGTATAGCATATATCAAATCTAGCCTAACTAAATGTATCAAAAAGGAATTATTTTCTAAAATGAAAACTCTCTCTGGGCTTGTTGTCTTCAGCTCTGTGTTCAAACCGATGGGATGGCGCCTCCTTCAGCTTGTTTAAGTTTTGCTCAGAGGCTCAAACATGTTTCGTTCATGTGAATTCTCCCTGTCCAACCGTTAGCTCTACCCGTCCACTCAGGGACGCTGTTTGTAGTGGCCCAATGGCAGAGTACTGTCGTAAGAGTACAATATTTACTGTATGTATAAAATACAAAATCAACTCTGGGCAGCATATCTAAATGAAGACTAGACGGAGAAATTAAAGCACTCCATTGGCTCATTGAGGGAGGGGTGGAGGAGGAGGGGGAGTGGTGATCTGAGGGACAGCTTTGTTTGACTGGTGCAACAACTACTGGACATCTAATCTGAAAGTCACATTTCAGATCTAACTTTTATTTTTTTCTCTTTTTTTGTCTTTAAACAACTATTAGTGTGTTTTTTTTAATGTAAATAACCCAGTGAAAGCCTTCAAGGAGAGACTCTCTGTAAATTCCTGTATCACCTCTAAAAAAGTGAAACTCTTTTAAATCAAGGACATCAGAGTTATTACACTAATTAATTTCAAAGATTAGGCAGTGTGGATATAAATGGAAAGTTACTTTTCTTGAAAGGCTTATTGTGCATTAAAATTTTTATCTTGTTTCTTTTTCGCAGTAAATAAATAATATATGACATGGATGGGTCAGATGATCAGACAAGCTGTAAATAAACTAATAGATCAGTTTAATAACCATCCTCGTTGGAGAAAAATAAAAATAAAGTGATTGCAACTGAAATGTTCATTTGACTTTTTTGGCACTTGTTTTCTTTGGAACTGTTATCTGACAGCTTGCACTTTTCTCTGTCAGACATCTTATTAGCCATTCCCAGACCTCAGGCATGGTAAGAAAATGTGTTTAGGTGTCTGAGTGATGGACAAAAACTCAAAAGTGGGTCGAGGAGCTGTTTTCACTGGGTTGTTGATTTGTAAGGGGAAAAAAAGTTCTGAAAAAAAGTCTGGGCTGCACTTTTATTTTGAAGGACTTGATAAAGTAATCATGCAGATCAGCTTATTGTGGTTGCTTACCACCAATTAACAACAAAAGAAGTAAAAGAAGAATCTTTTTTTTTCAGCTGCCAGTTTAGCAAAACACAATTACAAAAACGAAATACTTGATATATGAGTTTTTAAACATCGGGGACATAGGGACAGAAACTGGTGCATAAAAGCCTAAAGCCATAAAAAACAGAACAGAAACTCTATGCTCTGCTTTTACAGACAAACCTTATAACAATCAACTGTTTTCTGTCTGTTACATTTTGTAATGTTGACTAATTGTGATTTGTCCCATCTCAAGTCCAAACAAGACCATTTTTCATTGAATAAAAAAGAGTGGTTGGTAACTTCAGCAAATTTGGGTTGTGATTTGTCATTATGGAGTTTGTAGTAGCTCCAGAGGCTACACCAGTCAAGAACCACTGCTTTGATAAAAACCCTGACATAAAACAGTTCAAGACCCCAAATATGCCATCAATTGAACGACAAAAACAGATGTGTCCTTGAATGGCTTCACTATCCATTTATGATTCAACTGAATTTCTTTCTCTACTCCTTCAAATCATCCTTTTTTTTTTTTTAAATCATGTTTTCACTCTCACTTCAAAAGCTTTTGAAATGTTGGTGACATTTGGAACTCTGTGCATGATGATTTAACAAGATTTATAAAGAGCACGGGCAGGTTATGAACCCTGCACACAGGGTGGGAAAGGGTGAGTGGAGCAGGAATAATAAGAGTTTAGTTTGTTCTCTAGCTTTCCTCCCAGGAGGATCAGGAAATACTTGATTATTTTCTTCTTCAAATGACACAAAGCTTTAGAAGGACGGTACTAGCCATGATGCATTTTTTTTGTTCCCAAGTCAGTGGGAGACAAAAATAGGTTTGGCGGCAAAGTGATTTAATAATGATATTTAAAGAAGTAGGTTGAACTAATCTCACATATTTACATTTCAGCAAGGGGAATATGACCTAGAAATTCATTCTGCTGTTAATCCATGCTCCAGAACTGTACCTACACAACTAAATCAGGCCAATACGATGCCATAAATATAGCTGATTTTTTTTATGCAATTACTATCAATAGGTGTATTAAAAGCTGAGTGGTCTGCTGCTTGGGAGGATAGTGTGTGCAGAGAGAGAGTGACTGCACTCCTCAGGTCTTCTGAGAGTGTTTCCTATGGTTTCTATTGATCCATTTTAACCTACTTAAAGACAAGACGGGAACACACTGACTCAAACAAGCGCAAGCTCATGTCTGCATACACACAAACATAAACACATCGTACTATGCGAGAGTCTCCTTGCTGCAGTGGAAACATCAATAGAACAACAGACCTCTTGAAACCGTTCTTAATAATCACCTGAGAGGAATCAAACTCAGCCTGCTCAGCTTATGCTCAATATAACCTGACAAACAAACAAAAACAACACTCTAACAAAACAGCAGACAGAGCATTACCCAATACACTTGCAAGCTCATTAGCTTTACCTGTAAAGCAGAAGAGTTGGCTGGGGAACAGCAAAGGAGGGGGAACGTGGGGATAGGCAGATGAAAGGGGGGGGGGGGGGGAGGACAGGAGAAGACAGGAGAAGAAAGCTACCACCACAGGTCTGACCTCATTTCAAGACCCTGCCTGTTGTTCTTTGCCTGCGTGAGGGCGGTGTAGTTGGGATCATGGGGTTTAATCTGACATCACACCAGAGAAAAACTGCCAACAATCAAACACAACACAACACATAAAGCTAAGGAACGAAATCTAACTTCTAAGGGAGGTAGAACGAGATCAGACCTATTTTTAGAGATAGATGTTCAAAAATAGGGAAGGTAAACGAGAGAGCTCACACATAGTTGGTGTCATTATTTGTAAACCTGAGCTGTAATGCTGTGGTGGTACTCAGACATTACAGACTAAAGGAGAAACATCTCAATCATTACTTAGAATCCGCAACATATTGAAATATAGTCGTCAAAATGAAGTAAAAACAGATCAGGATCCAATGGCTATAGCTTTCATTAACACGTAGCCTTATTTCAAAAGATAAACATTTCAGATTTTAAAGCATCTTCTGCAAATGCAAACGTTATTAAATTTGCTACTATGAGCATGTCCCAACTAAAGTTCAATTTTGGAAAAAAAATGAAGGTAAAAATCCCAATCCTCACCTCAATTAAAGGAGGATTTCTACAAGATTGTCTGAAGATCTTCTAAAACCACACTTCCTGCATTTGTTTTCCTGACACTGCTTTTAATCACTGATTGCAGTTTTGCTTAATGAGAATCACAAGCCAGGAAATTCTGAAAAGTATGTCAAACACGTCTTTCAAAATACTTTTGTTCTGGATTAATTTCCTGCCAATAATCTAGCAGTCGGTTTGTTACCTCCTACCTGGTACACGTGGGCCTTTGAGTGGGTTGGACAGTGCCATGCCGATCTCGGTCATGCCGTAGCGTTCCAGCAGTGTGTGTCCTGTGATCTCCTCCCAGCGCTGAAGAGTGGGAAGAGGGAGAGCAGCCGAGCCTGACACCATCAGCCTGCAGGAACAGGGCCGGACGTGAGGGAAACACTCCAGGCTCGAAATGATTCCATTCTTAAGATTATGACATGTTATAAAAATAGCCAATATAAAGTATATCAGACTGGAATCAAACAGGGAAACAGGGTGTAGAATGAAGCAATGCATTTAAAGAAAAACTGTTACAAAAGAAAAAAAGAGTGAAATATGTTTCAAATAAATAGGAGGACAATTTTTGTACATGAGCAATTCACAGATTAGTTTTGCTGTCAGACATTTTCATTGAATGTAGGAGATTTATGACTGGGTGGGGTTTATCCACAGTGTACCAGGTTGAGAATATTGCCTCTATGTAGCTCTCAAATTAGAAAACAGCTGACTCACTTAAATCTCATGCCACAAAACAATGTCATTATATACTGAGGGGTGTAATATTATATTATTATTATTATTATTACATTGTTGCTGAAAAACTGACACAAAGAAAACAAAAGCTAAGATTATCTCCCCTAAAAAAACAAATTTAATGCTATTCTGATAAGTTTGCACATATAACAACCCAAAAGGGGAAAACAACAAAACAAATCTGTCTCTTATAGGCAGTTCAAGACTTTAGACGAGCTTCATTGCTCCTTTTTCCTGAAACTCTGCTGGAGGGATTTCTTCGGTGCATTGCACCCGTCCAAAACTTTTAATCAGTGTTCATGTGGTTTCAGATCTGGTGAACGAGATTCCCTGACACTTTCATAGCTGCTTTTACTAAAGCCTAGCTCAATTTCTTTGTGTCTTCAGTTTTGCATGTTCGTATTCTCTCAGCTCAGGTGGTCACCTGATCTTTTATGTTGTTATTCCTGAATGCTAAATAACAATCTCCTGAAGCAATTTTTGACTTTGTCAATGAACAGCTTCTTACAAATAAAATCTACTTCATTACTTGGTCACATGTACAGTATTTATACATTAACACATACATGTACACATGAACCCACAAATACATCTCCCCGGGAGTAAGCTGTCTGTCATTGATCCCACAGCCAGTACCTGATCCTCTCCTTGCAGACGGCTTTGACAAAGTCCTTGACATGAGGCTGTGTGAAGTGCTGATCATAGTGCTGGATCAGCTTAGAGTAGATGGTTGGCACAGCCATGAACACATTAACCAGGGGCGCCTCGGAGCTCAACAGCATCTCCCACACCTAGGACGCACAAACACACACACACACACAAATATAACTGAGGGGGAGATAAGGCAAAGTGTAAAGGAGAGTGGTGTGTCTAATGGACAGGGACCATAAGAAATAAATGATTACATCAGAAATCATTCATTTAGAGCATGTGCAAGTGACATTTTTTCTTTATTTGATGTAAATGGCAGAGTAAGGTCTAGACAGCAGCCTCATACTGAACCTGTCAACACGGCAGCAGAAAAAGACAAGAAGAAAAAAAATCAAGATTTGTAAAGGTCAGCAGGAAGAAAACAGCAGAGTGCTGCAGGGCAGAGCTGACACGTTGGCCAGTTAAAGGCCTTCAGTACGGCTACTTTTGACAAATGTGCTTTTTGACTGCTACTGTGTCCTCCACTGCTTACACACACACACACACACACACACACACCAGGCGTTAATGGACATATCATACATCGTGAACCACATGAACATATAAAAACACGCCTCAAAAATCACATAAACTCACTTGCTCAAGGACAAAGGCATCTTAAATACCCAGCCCCACCCACTTTACTTCATCCCCTCACACACACACACACACACACACACAGAAAAATACTCAGACACACACACATAGTCTGGGTAGACGATGGGAGGATGGTACGACAGCATGAATTAAGTGAAGGTGAACGACAGCTTCTCTAAGTCCCGTCTCCCCCCCCCCCCTCCCCGGGAGACAAACGCTCCTCCCCAGCTGTCTCCCCTTCCTTACCACCCCCTCCCCTCACTCCTCAGTCTACTTCTCCTCACTACTTCTACTTCTTCTTCGTCCCTCACTCTACCTTCATTCCTAAAGTGCTTCTTCATTCTCTGATTTCATCCCTGACCCCACATTTTTCCTCTCCCCTCGCTCCCTATCTCACATTCACTTACCTCCTCTCTCCATTTCGTAATTTCCTGCTCCGCTGCCTCTGCGGTCTACCTCAAACACATACACATTCACACACACACACACACACACACGTAAAAAAGCAGTTTCTCTCATCATCTGTCTCACCTATATAGTGCCACAACATTCTTCTTAATGTCCTAGCAATTTCTAAACTCTTCCTTCCACTTCCGCATTGCAGACTCACCTAATCTTTTATCTATTAACTTCTCACCATCTCTCCTCCTCTGGCTGAAAAAGACAGACACAACAGAAATATGGACAACTAGAGCTTGGAAGATAAAAAAAATGTCAACAGTCTAATCAGATCAATATCCTTTCCCCCTAATATACTCATAACAAGATCTAAAACTTGTGTTTTTCCACAGCTCACCTGTACACACACACACAGCATAAAACTTTGCACAGAGAGAAGGATATTAAGTAAGGGTGCCCCGACCGTTCAGGGTGGTGTCTATCAAGTGCAGTGGAGCGCTTCCACAAAGTCTAGTCTGGAGCAGAGAGGAAAGCAATTTATGTCCGTCAAAGAGCTGGCCTCCACCTGGGGGACAGGATGTGGTGAGAACCCAAAGCAATGGCCTGCATCCTAAACAACTCTATGAGCTGTGAACAGCCCTGGAGTTGTCGAGCGTTGATGTTTCCAAAGAGCTGAGCTATCACAAACTCTCAGTGGCATTAAAGCTTGGTTTGACCTTTTTTTGTCTGGTTGCCTTTATTCTTATCAGTTATTAACTTTGATCACATGTCATTCAATTAATTTCTGACTTTTATTTATGTATATTTAACAGAGGCTTGTGTTAAAACAATTATAAACACAAACGAATATGGCTTTTCATGGTTAAGAAAATAATTCAATTCTAGTAAAATATTTCATATTGCCCAAGGGAGATGTAAAATTAAGTTTAGTTTTGGTTTAAGTAATGAAAAACTGATGTTTTACTGGCTTTGAAATCAAAATAAGAGTCTCTAGGATCACAATGAGCCTGTGAGGCTGCTATTTGTGTTTTGAGCTTAATGTGAATGTTGGCTGACCATCAACTTTAAAAAAAGACAATTCTAACATGCCGATGTTAAGCGGGAATTTCGATCACATCATGTTTGAGAACATTTAGCTCGCTTTTTATTTCCCAATCAGCCCTCATCACAAAGTATAGCTGTGAGTGGTGCAGTATCACTATGTTTTATTATGGGTCAAGATGAAAAGTCAGAGGGGTATTGTAATAAATTCTGAGGGCAATGTTAAAATCAGCAACACATGTTGAAGCTAAAGGAAAGTCAGGGGATAATTACTATTTAACTTTTATTAAAGCCTCGAAAGTCACCAAGTTTACCCTCATTTACAAAGATGTCAAGATTTAAAAAAGCAAACCAAGAGAAGATGATCCCCAGTAAAAACAATGGCCCACTGTGGTGAAGTGGTTTTAGATCCTAGCCTCAATTTGTCCAACAGTTAACGAGAGCTTCAATCTTGAGAGTGTTTTGTAAGTCATTTTTGGAGCACAAAAGTTAAAATGGGAATTTCAAAAATTCAGAGTAAACCTGACTTTACATTAGAGTCCAGTGGTCCAGTTCAGCACTGATGTTATGTAAGATGGTGATCGTCCAATGACAGTAGATAAAAAGATAGAAGTATGAAAGATGATTCAATGAACTCTTTGACATACAGAAAATACTAGAGCACATGAATCACTTAAAGCAATTTAAAAAGGTGCAATGGACATACGTTTCGAGGCGCACTGCGTCTTCCTCAGAGTCAAACAGAGTCAAAGACGCAGTGTGTGTTTGCACCTTAATAAACTGCCTGTGATTCGTGTGCTTCAGTATTTTCTTTGGATTCTGAATGTATGAAGGAGTCCATTGAATTATCTTTTGTACGTCCAAGGTCCTTCTCTGAGAGCACCGACCTCCATCTGTGGAGGGGCTGAAGAGCAAGAGATCCCTTCTAAAGGAGATACTATTGTTTATCACATCTCTTAGCGGAGGAGACCAAAAGACTGTGTTATACTGAATACAATGATGAGCGTTGTAGGGAGGGATCTACGGTAATGACTGTAAGAGCAGAGTGACAAACTGAGTCGAGGGATTTGAGAGTGAAACCAACAGCATGTCTAGATAGCATCAATACAACCCAGGACTGACAAAAAAAAGACCACTGACAATACTTTACCTACAACAAAGAGGAAAGTTAGATCTATTTCTGAACAGAAACCCGAGTTTCTGCTGAAGTTTGCCAGTGAGGTTTTCAACGTGGTGATTATATGTAAATGATTAATCGAGCCAAGTACAGAGATATTTACACAATGTGACCCTCTAAACACTGCTACCACTGAGTGTGGATAGTTGTGGACTGTTCAACTCAATATCTCTGCAGGATCGATCCTCTAGGGAAACAAATATCTGTCCATAATTCTAAAAGAATCCATGCATTAGATGATTTACACTTCTGTCTCCAGAGCCAAAACAAGTTCCAAATATATATCACCCCTGATTTCATTCATCCAAAACCATTGTTTATGAAATACAAATAAATGTCATTTATGATTTTAAATTATATTTCTAGCGTGAGAGGATATTTTTTTTAAGTAGCCAAATAAGCTGCTTAATAAGCCGCTTGCCGTAAGCATTTGATCATTTATGCAGCTGAACAACTTCTTTCATATTAAAATTGAGTTTCACTTTTATTTTTAAATAATTCTTGCAGTGACGAGAAAATAAATGAAGATTCATATGAAATTGACGTGAACCCCCCTTGCTGTGTGAACCCCAGGAACAGTATCTGTCCCTGTCAGACTGTAACAGTTACACTTGAAAGAGACTTATCGGCGATTTACTGGATCACAATTCCTGCACTGAAAATTTTTCTGTCACTATCTCCGGGCAAAATCACACACAAAAATCAATGGCGGCCTCTGCTGCCTAGGCTACCCTTCAGAGATCTGAGGGGATAGAAGAGACAGACTATCGATCACTTCATCAATGTACTGTAACTTCAGGAGGAGGAGAAGAAAGGCTTTTTTCTGAGGCTGAGAGGAGGGGTTTGTGGGTTAGTACACAAGGTCAGGGATAACAGCTGAATACTGATAGCTATAACAGTGCAGCAATACCCATGTTGACAGATACATAGGTCCTTTGTAGACCTTTACTTTCCAGCCACCTTCACTGCTGGTGAGTTGTAGAAGACACACAAACAAAACACACATACATTGGGAAGAAAAAAAAAAAGAGGTGCATCCACAATATGTGCCAAAAATACACCTATACACACATACACCCCTCCCTTCTCAGGGCCAAACAAGCACTATCATCCTTCAATGTCAGCCCATCGATTGATCCGCTGCTTAAGCCCCTGCCGTGAGTCGGCGTTGGTCAGATACAAAGCCACACAGGGCAATTCATCACTGAGCCCCCAACGCTTAGTTTGACAGTCAGAGAGGGAGGAGGAGGAGGACGAGGACGAGGAGAAGGAGGAGAGACTGATAAAAAGAGAAAAAAGGGGAAAAAGAGGAAGCAAGGAGAAAGAAAGGAGAAGAAAAGTTGAAGAATCTGAAAATAGTGACATTCAGGGAGGAATGGATGAGGAAAATGCTTGGGGGTCTTTTGAAACTCAGCAGCCCCTTGCAGAAGCCCTTATACGGGACTACGTCAGCCTCCTCTGTTCAGGGGTGTTAATGAAAGGTTTACTGTACAAAGACAAAGTGCAGACGGACCTTCTGAGGCTGGAAGTCAGGCAGCATGACGCAGGTGGCGCCCACCCAGAGCGGGCACAGCAGCTTGTTAACAATGCCATGCACATGGTGGAGCGGCAAGGTGTGAAGGATGATGTCATCTCTGGACCACGCCCACTCTGAAACCAGACACTGGACCTGAGAGCGAGGGAGGGAGACAGGGGAGGACAGGGAGGGAAGGATCTGAATGTCAAATTGTCTTTTAAATCAAATCAACAATAAGCTTACACCATGGCTAAGATTTGCTGCGTTTTTGTGGTGATTCAGTTCTGCCAGTTCAAACTCTATACGTAGTTTTTGTTCCTTTAAACAATGACTCTGGTTGCCATGGGGCGAGCAGAGCAATAACTCAAATGAAATGAAGTCTAGCTATAGCTATATTAAGGTCTACAGAGGCTTGAGACAAATCTGTATATTTCTCTTCAACAATAATTTCCCCTAATTATTGTGCAAACTGAGTGCAGATCATATTTAGTGTAGAAAGTGTTTTCCTCACGTTTAGGAAAGTAGCAATCATTACTGGTGCTATGAAATATTGTATCACAGAATCTTCAAATCATTTTTAAAGCATGGAACAGGAATGGTGGTGCTGGTTTGACATATTTGTTAGAGAGTCTGGCTGTCCCTGGTTCGAGTGTGACCCTCCACATGAGCTGTATGGAATCCCCCCACTCTCTTCTCCTAACATGTCACTGTTGTCTTTTCCTAATGAAGGCACACATGGCCCAATGCAATCTTTTTTTTTTTTAATGTAGCAGGAATAAAAAAAAAACCTCATAAATATAAAACTAATGTTTGGTTACATTGCATTTAAGCAGCCATTTGCTCGTATTATATGTCATAAAAAATAAGCTTACTTTCTTCACAGGACAGATCATTACATCTACATATACAGTATCTCACAATATCAACTTGTATTCAAAGAACCCAGAGTTTACTTACATAACTGTAAATAAATGATATAAAGGTAATTTAGTTCCTAAAATGAGATGTAGTTGGTTATTATGGAGTAATTGACATTGAACTCATCACTGTGCTCTCGTAACACACTTGAAATGTCTGTCAACGTTTCTTCAAAATTGTATTTTTTAAACAATTTAAATGTGCAAAAGGAATTCATCTTAACACTGCCTTTGTGAAGCTTTTGCATTTAAGGTTAAGCCTGTGTGTGATAAGTTGTTAATGTCTCTTAAAGGGTATTTCTACCTCAGTGTTGTATTTTTGCTATAAAGTTATTCTAGTTATTTTACTCTGTTTGCTGTGTGTTTATGCAGCAGATAATTACTAATTATCTTTTTTTTTTATTACAACGAAACTAACATGATTCTGGTTATAAAAAAAGAAAATGGAACAAATCACAACGGGCTGCTGAAACACTTTCAAAAAGACAAACACATGCAGGCCTCAGGTTCATGTTTTCTCAGACAGTCTGTACTTGAAATGATTACACTAAACTAGTTCATGAAGGTCAGCGTGGACCAGTCTTTTGTGGAGTTTCCTTTCACTCTGATGCCTTTCAAGAACACTGTGACACCGTTTATGATGTAGGCACATAATACATCTTATGCACAGAGCACCTCAAAAATAGTGAAAGAGAATCCAATCCATTCACAGAATGTAATACCCCAAATGATGCAAAAAAAGCACACCCTACATGCACCCATGGTCAAACACATCAGGTACAGGATGAATTTTGGGTCGTGATCTGTCCAAGTTAAAATTTGGAAGTGTTCAGGGAATCAATTTTCCTTTCACTCTGTGTCTGAAGTCCTCCTTCACATTAACCTGACAAGAGGCGCTTTCAGGGATTCTGACAACCTGATGTTGTTGCCTTCCAGGAAAACAGACAGAGTCACTTAATCACTCACTCACGTCCCTGGGCCAACCAGAGACAAATGAAGCACTGCTGTCTTTCAGAGTGATTTAATTTTCCACACGATCGGACATGTAGGTCAATTTAAGCTTAAAAAACGAGGGGAAATCTTCAGTGGATCTTTAATGGCATAAATTAATGATTATTCTGAAAGCTCAACTGGAACAAACGAGAAATGATGCTAATCAGGGACTCAAATATGGGTGTGGGGGTGTCTGAACACTTCTTGCCTGAAAAAAAAAAATGCATATCATTTAAGTGGCTATAATTGTGAGTTCTGTGGAGCTCTGGGTAGTCATCTTATAATCTCTGTCTGCATGGCATAATATATCCTGTAGACAGAATTAACTAAAGCATAATAACCCTGACTGGAATATTGAAGTGCGCTATCATTTCTTTGAAATGACATTGCAGGGTATTCAAAAACCATTAATGTAACATGCTAGTGCTTCACTCATGTAACTATAGGGTATTAATTCATCTAACAAAGTTGAGCTAAATCTCTCGAGTCAGGCAATACTAACCAAAGTCTGATGACAGTGTGTAACTTTGTTTACATTAAGGAAAGTCACAGTTTCAGTAAACTATTTATTTAATCCTATTTCAAGAACACCTGGACAGATCACACAGATTGAGTAAGGTGTTAGTCATGACTCAAATGAATGATGGTTTTACTATATGAGTGAATATTTACTTTTCTACATGACCAAACAAAAGATAGGGATAATCTTTATGTGGATGCCTCTGAGTTTTTTAAAAACCTAAATGCTAGCATGTCATCTCTACACTGCTACAACTTATTTATTTTTGACAGCCTAACTCTACATCTGCAGACAGCTCATAGTCAGTATACCTGCCTGTGCAAGTTATCAATAGCTTTTATATTTTTATGCACTTCCTGGTGACTGTACCAAACAGAGTACATGTAGTATTTCTGTCTCAACACACTAACCAAGAAACACCATACGTTATTTTGAATGTTACAGGATTTTAATAAATCGAGTGATTTATTTGAAAATAAAACATTTAAAACAGGATTGTCGTGAACAAAATACACGTAAATCTTTGAACTACACAACCCAATATTGTGCTCATCTGTCATTAAGGTTTAAGATAACAGACCCAAAGAGCGTATAGCTGCCATCCCTCACTGCTTGTGATTTTAATTAGCCACAGCTTAAAGTGCATTACTACCTGCTGTACTATAGTCAGCTATGTCAAATCTGTGGGCAAATGTTTTTCAGCTCAACATGTTCTTAAAAGGTTTACCAAAAAGCAATTGAAATAATAGTTTGAAAGACCAGATTTACCATGGCTTGGATGTTGCTGTGCATATGCAGCACTCCCTTTGGTCTCCCTGTGGTACCACTGGTGTAGATGATCATAGCTGGGCGCTCAGCCCAGTCCGTGATGTCTGCCTCCTCCTCTCCGGCGTCTGAAGAATCTAAAGTGCTCAGGTTGGAAGTAGCCGGCAGAGTGAGGCACGGTAGCCCCAGCTTCTGTGCCAGCGGCTCCAAGGTGTCAGCAAAGGGATGACCTGCCACCAACAATGAACTCTGGGAGTCAGAGATGATGTACTCCAGTTCAGATTCAGGGTGTTTTCGGTAGAGCGGCACCGCCGTCCCACCACTCATCCAAGCTGCCCACTGTGCAACTGTATAGGAAGCATCATTAGCACACAGGAAGGAGATTCTTTTTCCTTCCAGACCCCCAAAGCCAGAGTTCAGAGTAGAACTGATTCTACCAGCAAGACCTAAGCTGCTGCAGTACAGCTGCTTGTAGCTGTGGCTTCCACCACTGTCGATGATAGCAACCTTATCCCCAAATGCTAGAGCTCTGAAAACACCGGCTTCTGGTGTAACCTTGATGAAGGCACTGTAGTCCATCTGTGAGCTTGTCTTTGAACTGCAGTTCTCAGATTCCATTTCTCTTGCTTTAATAGGCAGAAGGTTCTGTGAAAAATAGCTACAGAGTGAGGTAGTGTCCGCTTCAGAGAGTGGCACGCAGCAGAAAGTCCTAACGGCATGTTTGAAACTCTCAGACCCTCAAGAGTTAGAACATCAAGATGGCTCCATTCTCAGTCTCTAGCATCTGTACAAAACAGAAAGCACATGTAGGTGGCAGACTGGATAAAAGGCATGTGTACATAGAGTACATAGAGAACACAACATTTGATCATCATCTTTAAGACAAATACTGTACGGAGTACTTAATCCTCTGACCAGAGTTCGAGTTACGTGGGAGCCAATGAGAGCTCAGCTGCCATAGAAGGCGTCTGAGGAAGAACCAGACATTAACAACCACTATTTTATTAACAAATGATACATATTCAATGTAAGAACTATAATTTAGGGTGACTAGATAAATAGATTAGAAGAAAAATGTTTTCCAAAAGAACTACGCACTATATTCTCTGGTGAATTACAGTATGGCAGCGCTTCATTAAGGTCCATGAGCTCCAGGACTGCTTCACATCTAATTCAAACACCTGGCTTTTCACTTTCATTCATTTTGGTTAAAAAAAAAAAACAACAACTTTGCACAACCTTACTGCATAAAGCTAACATGTTTTTGTTGGGCGGAAAAATGTGCAGGTTGAAAATGTTATTGGGGAAAAGTTATTGCACTTCAGAGGTGGTGGGATAGCAAGATTCATTTTTTTGAGTATAGGAATAATAGAGGTATTGATATTCTAATTCATGGTCTTTAAAACTCTTGATACTATAATTGTAAAGCTCAGAAGGCTTTACACAGCAGCCAGACTAACCTTTAGGCTTTACATTACTACCTTTTTGTGTAAAATCATAAACTTTGAAGCCGTCTGAAACTGTCAACCTGATTATGTCAATAATATGTGCACCTGCCACACCTATCACACCTGCCACACCTGTCACACCTGCCACACCTGTCACACCTGCCACACCTGTCTAAGATTATATTCAAAGTTAAATTCAAAAGGAAAGACGTTTAAAAACTATTTAAGACTAAATTATGACCCATGTTCAGGGCAACATTCAACTCTCAAATCAGCTAAAACATGGACTCGTAATCTCTGAGGTTTTTTTTCTAATTGTTATTCACAAGTTAATGAAAAGTGAAACATCAACATGACATTTTAAATCTTTCAGGTGACGGATATTCACAAGTTCAAGAAGAGCCCGAAAACAACCGGAGAATAAAAAAATATAATATTAAGAATACTGTCATGTATTTTTTAGATTAATTCACATAAATGCTGTTGTAAACAAACCTCCTAGAAGTCATATTCACCTTACCTTAAATAAAAGCCGGTACATAATTTGGTGAGGGACAGCGTCACGTACTGTATCTTCCGGTATGAAACAGATGCCGCTTCAATAGTTCCTGCCTGAGTTTTCCACACACTCAGCCGGTTATGAGTTATTATTGTGAGTAAGTATCATTGTGAGTTTCTGAAATACCATGTACTTTTTTGAGACTTTGGGGGTAGCAGCCTATTTTATTTTTATTCAAAAAGATTTACAACATGAGATCATTTGAATGTGATTTTTTTTTAAACCTGCAGAGACTTTTTTCAGTTGCTGACCAGTGCTGAATTAAATAAAAAATAAAAAATAAAATAAAATTAGTATTTTTAGGTTATTTTCAGCCTTTTAGTTCTTAATATTTTCCTCTAAAATCTTGCACATGATCTGATGTGGACTAGACCTTTTTGGGCTAATAGATGCAAGGGGATTACCTTGTGTTTTTGTCTGTCATCAGGTGGTTCCTTACTCAGCTGGGTGGTAATTGTAAAGACCCATCCCCATTTTAAAGACTTTTAAATCCAGTAGAGAGGCTGCTATCAGGAAGTGTTGATAGGGGAAGGGAGAGTGCAGTATATTCCCAGCTACCCCACACAGAGCTGTGTTTGGCTTTAGATCCTACGCCAGTCCTACCACTCAGTGTGCCAACTAGCTTGGCTGGCTTCATCATCACAGTGCAAGTGGGCACATTCAGCCGCCAGCTGGCAGTCGCGGGCCTCAGATAACAGAATGGTTCAGACATGGCACACGTTCAAAAAGTTTTCACTTCCCTCCCCAAACCCCCTACACTGCAAACAAGGATGGCATGTTCCTACCGAAATTGCAGCCTTTGTTTCAGAGAACTCCCCTCCACTCTCAGGAATAGTATCGTCAAAGACCACTCATTCCCTTTCGTGGGGAAAGCGCTATTCAAGGGGATGCTATGCTACCCCAGCAGCTATGTAATTTCCAGAGAATCCTTTATTTGAAGGGCATTTACACAGTCTTTTGTCTTTTATATGTAGCGGCCACTGATGCTTTTTTTTTTTTTTTTTTTTTTACCAAGAATTCAACCTAAAAAGGACCGAATGCGCATCCTGATGAAACGAAATAAGACACAGACGACCCATGTTTTTGGATTCGATGCCTGGAAGTTGGCCATATTTTTGACATGTGGGACTGGAATCTGAGCTACAGAGAAACTCATTCATTTATTTTGGATCCATGAAGGTATAGATGAAAAGTAGACTGTCAAAAAGGGCGTCATGTGATTGTCTTTTTCTTAGGGAATCGAGGAAAATACATTTCTACCTTGGGGAGGGATTGTAACATTTGTGGCGAAAACATGATCAGATCGAGTAGCTTGCTCATGCTTGCATTCTGCCGCAATGGCCTGCTGCCAACACACTATCCAGCAAAGACCACCTGAAAGGATCTCATCACTGACGGGCAGAAAGACGCAAGCCGGCGCCAAATCCCATCTTGGCAAAGGACTGCTTCCGAGGAAAAAGAGAAAGAAGGAAAGAGGGGACCCCCCATAGATCTGTGAGAGAGGCTGAGATGGTAACACAAACCATGGGGAGTACCCAAGCATGTGTCAGGTTGGCATCAATGTGAGAAAGTCTTGGCAAGCTCTTCGTTCTCTCCCCTCCCACCTCAGCTCACACGCAAACACACTGTTGCCCTGCTTGGAACACATGGTACATCAGCAGCGGCATCTGGCCGCGCTGACTCCTGGCAGCTGCGCTTCGTCTTCGCCAGTTGGGAGTCTTGGCACTGCCACTTCATCAACTACCTGTGGCTCCTCCCGGGTAAAAAGGCGGGCGATGAATTATTCCGAGGCTGCAGCTGCAAACTTGAATTTCATCCAAGATATTCCCTGTAAACATATGACTGCCTCACACTGCACATGCCACCCACATACTAATGCACGATTGACAACATGGCTTGTTCTTCCGCGCAGAGGGAATTGTGTGTACTCACGTGATGGTACGGTTCATTTGAGGTGAAAGATGACGGATGTTCTGCGATGATTCTCTCTTGGTTGTACTGTACCTACATCAAAAACAGACACAACAGGAAACTATTGGCTAACAAAGAAATATTTTTAAAGCCTCACATCTAAAAATGACAAGACAACACAATTTTCAGTTATTTTTTATTCGGAAAGGAATTTGAGTTTAAGTCTGTGCTCTTCATCGGGCAACATCAGCATTTATCTTTGTGTTGGGAAACGATGTTGCGTCGCCCAGGATTACACTGAATATCATTTTCTTTTTTTTAAATGAACCAACAGCAAGGTGACCTTTCATCTCATAATTATTTCCTCACATTCCATTTCTAATGGAGGTTTTGACAACCAAGGACATCTGCCTGAAGCGCTTTGAATACGTTTGAGCTGTGACATCATGGATTGCTGATGAAGAGTAGGACAGCTTTGTCTGATGATCGCCTCCCTCTCTTGAAAGAAAAATTCCAATGGCTTCTTTGTGTGACGGGCTTGCAATTACCCTCATAAATATTTGTAACATCTCTTTATGAAAAGTTAATGATCAAATACAGCACAATGTAATTTTGCATTTAAATCAGTGGCACTATTGGCTTTCTTTTATGAAATATAACATTGGAAGATGCTTTGGAAGAGGTGCATTCAAAGCCAACTCAGTGTCCAGGGATTTGTCTTGAATCTATTGAGCCCTCTTTTGATATTTCTAGTAGAGAGGCCTTCATATTCCCAAACCTTTCAGTATATCCAGATGTGAACAGCTAACTGGTATGCTGTTCAATTTTGACAGCAGCACTTTGGGGGGAAAAAGTACAATGGGTTGATTGTGATCACAGTTACAGTTTGTGACAATATGGGCCATGCCCCAAGTTATTGATTGATTTTCTGTGAGAGGCAAACTCAAAGGAAGCAGTAGAAGGAAACGTTTAAGGGGAATTAAATGTTAAGTATTATTGAGATCCACTTGCTGACGTGTGAGTTGGTTTGCTTTTGGCTACTTGAGCGAATGGACGCAAGGCTAAATGGACTTGAACTTGAATAGCGCTTGAACTTGACTTGAACTTGAATAGCACTTTTCTAGTTTTCTGCCTATTCTCAAAAAACTGCATGTCACATTTATAGACTGAAGGCAGATGCTGCTATAAAGTGAATATCAGTATTAACTAATTCCTATGACACAAATTCACACGCCGCTGATATAGCACAAGTGAAAATTGGGGATCAGTGTTTTGCCCAAGGACACTTTGGCATTTAACTGCAGGAGCTGAGAGTTGAACCTACAACCCTCTGAGCCACAGCCGTCCCTAAACCATAATGCATAACTCACATTTTAATTGAAAACTCATTGTATTAGTGTTTTATTCTAGCTTTATTTGAAGATAGAATTTGCTGGCAAGCTGTTAAAAATCTGCACAATTTTGACTTCATCTCTCCCATTAACACATAGTGAATATACGCAAACACATGCACATATTCTCTCACTTTTTCTGTAGGTGTTAGTCATCTGACAGTGACCCAGTGGGAGTTTTTTCTCCATCTGTGTCAGTCTGACCCATTTTAGCCCTCGGCCACGTCCAACTGTTCTGTTTCCCAAACATATGTGCTGTGGCGGGGGGATAAGCGGACCGTTGCCGTGTGGGACCTGCAGACACACACAGCAGAGATGACACTGGACCCTGATTTCCTGTCTGTCTGCTTCCCACGGCATATGCCATCATCAATACTGGCCCCGAGGATTCACACCTTAGTGATTTGACAAAACACCAACACTCCTACTGCTGCTCCTTCCACCGCCTGAGAC